TTTTTCTTTCGTGAATTACCATAATATCATGAGTGAAGCTCAATGCGTTTTCCGTTAAGAAAATTGCTCCCCCATATTCCAACAAAAGATTCTCCTTTATTTAGTGATGCAAAATCAAAATTTTTCAATTATTAACAACTCTACCTTTTATATAAAAAATATACATAATTACGAGGGAAATAATTGCTCTTTAATTAATGAAAGGAAAGCAAGAAGATAATCATCACGATTTAAAATACAACTTCGCCTCGATTTTCCTTTTTATTTGCCTTCCTTTCCCGACGAAGAAACTTGCTAATTTTCCCTATCAAATAATTATGATAAAGTATAAAATCCAGATTTAAACTTCAAGGGATTATCGCTAAGTACTCTGCTTGGTGAATTAAGGAAAAATATAAAAAATCTAGTATCCGCAGAAGAGGAAAATGTAATATGTTCGAAACTTGAAATACTGACGAAGAAGAAGTAGTGCGGGAAATGGGGGCGAGAAGGGGGGTTAAAAAAAAGTGAAAAATAGTTAACAAAGTTTTGCATTTAAGTACTTTTTGCTTAAGCTACTTATACCGGAGGAAACTTACGTCATTTTCCACGTTGAAAACTTACGTCTTGTAATTTATGTTTCCATGTACTTTTCTTTTTTTTTAATATCAACCATAAGGCAGCAATAGTAGCAGCATGACAAGTTTACTGATTGGTTATTGCTTGTTTATCAAATCAAAGTTAGAAATCTTTTGATAAACTTTGTTAACGACTTTTCAAACGAGCTGGAAGAAATTAATTTTAATAAAATACTGTCATTCTCTTCTTTTTTTCTTTTCAACAAAAAGAAATAATCATTTCAACTATAGAAGCAACTTTTCTTTACAAGAAATAATATCACTTCAAATATAGAAGTCGAATATTTTTTTCCATACTTTTAAAAATAATAATAAACAACAATTTCTCGGACAAGAGAGAAGCAAATAATGTTACACGATTGGAAATAAATGTTTGCTCAAATACCACAAGAGAAGAGAGAGAGAGAGAGAGAATCCCCTCTCTTACGAAAAGTACATAGGAAAAAACAAACATTAAAGTGATATTCCAGGTCAGACAGATGTTACAATTTTGAAAACTCTAGAGTTTTAGTTTCAATAAAACGAAATGAAAATTTGTTTAATTGCAAGGACTAAAGTCCCTCCTAAATTTATTTCCTACTTCCAAATTCTTACAAATTCAATAATTTTTGAAAAAGTTCTTTAAAAAGAAATTTCAATTATTTCAAAAATTTTTAATTATTTGTTTATAAAAATTCAGTTATCTTAAAACAATAGAAGTGAAAAATTTCAAAAATCTTATTATTTTTTAAATTAAAATGATAAAACTTTTTTTAATTTGGTGAAAAAATTCCCGGTTTGGCATATAAAATTCCTGGCTTATTTCCGGTTTTTCCTGGTCAAATTAAATTCCCGGCTATTTCCCAGTTTTCCCAGTTAATAGACACCCTGAAATTCTCTCTAAAATCGAAATTCGAAAGCGAATAAATTTCCACTAAATTCAAATTAGATTTATATTGATTATAATTCGACATGTTCGCCGACGCAAAAGAATGAAAAGAGAAGAAAGGAGAAATTGTGATTTGTGGAATGTAACCTTTTACAGTGCGGAGATGAACGAACTTGCGTGACACAGTCATAAAATACACGCTTTGAACTTATATGCTACGTCAACATTCACATATGTGCGCAAATTGCATGCAATAATATTCGAGTACTCATATACAATGTATGTATACAAATAACATTGTCCTAACATATGGGAACATAATTTGACCTTACTGTCCCGACGGGCAGAGAAAGCCGACAAGATTTATAGACTATTAAACGCCATGCTCGGTTAGATTCTCAGTTATCAGTGAAAATTAAAGTTTCCTGAGTATCTCATTCGCTTTTGTTCTAATGGTTACGAGTCTCGCGCAGTAAAATTTTATATTTTCACCTCCAGCGTACTTTCCTTCAAGATGATTCTTGAATTTAAGGACTAAAAACAGCAGGGCACCTTATTACAAAGAAACATTAGTAGTCACTTCACTAGTTCTCTAAAATTCATCAAAAGGAACTTAAAACTTCATTTGATTCTTTTGAAATTCTACAATTATTTTCTTGAAGGTGTCAAAATTTGGTAATTATTGAGCAAATCGATACCAAATTTATGTATCAAAGTTTTTTAATTTGTGGTTCCTTTCGATCAAAATTCCTTGACTTTTCCCTGATTTCTAGTTTTTCCCTGACTTGCGACAAGCCTTGATAACTTATGTATTCTAAAAGTTTAATATTTATCCAATACTTTTATTAAAATTAAAATTCTGAATTTTGATGCCTTTTTTTATTTGCCTCATAAACTATGAAATTATTATGAATTCTAATTTTTATTAAATAAAAATTCCTGATTTCCCTGACTTTTCCCTAAATTCTCTGACCTGTGGCAACCTTGCAAAACTAAAGATTCTGAAATTAAAGACTCAAAAGTTAAACATCAAAAAACACAATTTTTGGCAGGAAAAGAAGACACACGGCAGTCGCGTTTCCAGCAGATAAATAAGATTTTATCAATAATGATACAAGACAAGAGAAACAGTTAATGAGACTAATTTAAATTGCATCAGGAAGAGGAAGTTGAATTATATATCAGTTGAAAGGTATATAGTTTTTGAAAGAGCTAGCCTTAAATAGGTAAGCAAGTGGGTTGTACAAATTGCAAGAAACCATGCAAGCCACACGCGACGTGTAAACATCGCGGTCACTTAATATAGGGAAATTATCTTTTGAAGACCAACAACGAGACCTTGCAAAGTGAGTATCAAGTATTGGAGAGCACCAGTTACCAATTTATATATGTGAAAATGTTCCTCGGCTCTTGTGAGTTCTCTTTGAGTTATAGCTATATGGTATCTATATATGTATATATAAAAGCGAGGAAGGCAATGATAATCTACCTGGTATTTGCATACACGTGGTATAACACGTCTTTGCGGTAGGCATGTAATCGTCTTGGGTTCCAGAGCTAGACTTAATCACCAAGCTGAATCCGTTATATATGTACATATATACATATATCTATTCAGGGGAAGTAAGAAATAGAGGAGGAGATGAAGAAGAAATGCGGTGCAAGTGCACGAAAACTTATTTGAAGAACTTCAACTTTCCAGCGCAAGAAATACTGTAAATGCAAATTACAACTTCTGCAAAGTTAGAATTAGAAATTTTTATTCTTCTAAATTTATATATCCACACACAAAATAAACTTATAGAATGAATAGTAAGTGATAAAACTTTTAAGTATATCGCATTGCATTTAATGTCTCTAAAACCCACAGCAACAACCTATTAAACTAACAGTTCTGGTTTTCATTAAATGAGTGCGAGAAAGGGGGAATTATCAAAAGATAGGAAATTGCAAACTCTCCCGATAGGTTAATGTTTCAAAAGAAAAAGTTCAAAACTATAAATATATAAAATGGTTTCGCGAAAAATTAAATACCTTGTATCATGTGATAAGAGTATAAAAATTACCATACACGTTCAGTTACTTAATTAATGTTTTTCCTTGATTGTAATTTATTCTGTTCAGTGCGCGCACTATCAGTTTTATCATCACATAAAACTGGATTTTATAATTGTGAAAATTATTATAACTGTTCGAAACAATTAACAGGGCTCGGATCGTCTTTAAGACTCAAAAAATGTCGCTTTAGTCGCATAAATTCACAACAAAAGTCACGAAAAGTCGCATAAAATTTCCGAAAAAAAACACTTTTTTTGTGTTTGGACCGAAATTTGTCAGTATGCATAAACTTATTTAAGAATTTAACGCAGTAATTTTTGTCATATTTTCTCTCTTCATGTGGGAGAAGAAAGAAGTTCCAATGCAAGTAGAGAATTATTAAAATATTGTATAAACGGCTTACAGAAGTTATAAAACAGTTGCAAGAGCTACTTCAATATTCTCACAGTATTGCTAATGTAAAATTTTCAAAACTAAAACACGAGTCAAAATTGCCACAACATCAGAAAAAAACCCTTTAAATATAAAACCCTCTTTTCAAGTCATTTATAATTAGTAATGTACATAATTAACTATAAACAAAAAAACTTGGTTTCAAATTAATACCCTCTTGTTTTAATTTGCCAATTTTTTACATTTTCCAAACTCCCAAATGAAATTATTAATTTACATTTTTAAAAAGTAAAAACACGTTCTCGTTTCGAAAAAGTAAAAATTTCGCAAAGATAAATTCAAAGAGTAAATAAAAGAAAAATGTAAATTTTAAAAGCGACTCTTTAATTAGCATGATGGCCAAGGCAAACTAAGACAAAAAAAAGCGGTTGTGACCGGTGAGCTATGTGAACACTTGCGTATGCACGGAGTGTGAACGCTCTTCAACCACAAATAAATACAAGATATATAGTGTCGATCCCGTCTATTACTGGCAAAACCAAAAATAAAGTAAAAGCAAAAAAAAAAGAAGAAAAAAAAACTAGACTGCAAAATTGAAAGTGCACAACAATTATTCGTTTTTTGTTTCATTCGATAAATACTATGATGTTACGGCGTAATTTTGAAATCCAATTCCGCTGGATATTACCAATATTTTTTTCTCTATTGTACTTTTCTGCAAACTCAACATTTACCAGCTGCACCGTGTCACAGTCAATCATACTTTCATTTAAAATCGCTTTTCTGTTTCAATGATAAAGAGAGAAATAAAAAAAGAATATAAAACTTTTATATAAATACAATATAAATCAAAATATTTAAATTAATGATTAAAAATGTTATTATTGATAATGTTTATATTATTGAAGATGCTAAAAATGTATTACATTTTTAATTTAAAAAATGCACCATTTTTTAATATATTAATAAAAAAAAAGTGCTTTTAATATTTAAATACATAAATGCTTCAACATATTCTCTTTTTTGTACCTATTTTAAGAATATAAATAAAATTCTGTACTCACCACTGTGATGGGGTAAACGGGGTTGATAATTGTGAACAAAAGCACGTGATTCGGTTTATTATTGTCCTCCCTGAAAATCAAACAAATCATTTTATTAAACAACTAGATAATTTAAACTTATTTATTATTTCACTATAGTCAAATCTATCAAAAATTTATATCACTATTTCCCGTTTCCATAAATAAATATCTATAAATCACCATTTAGTTACAAAATCAATTTTGTGTATGGATAATTGAATTAAATTCATATTTCATCAACTTTAGATTCATTTTAAATGTCTTCTTTTTTTTAATGAACTGAAAGGTTTAATGAAACAACAAACTTTTTGCCCATAAGGTGAAGCTATCGACGGTAGAAATAAATAAAATTATTCAATTAACTTCCTTTCTTTTATTTTTATCAAAAAACTTTCTGTTATTTCTATTCAAAAACTAACTTTTGACTGATTACAAAGTGGACAAGTTTACAAAGTGGAACATTGCCTGCTTTAGTTCGTTTGCCTCTGTATATATGCAATTTCAACTTTATTTCCCTGTAGCAACTTCTTTATTCAGATTATGCTTTGCGAGAGTTATACTAATTATTCATTTTTCATGAACATGCGATACGAAAAGTAAGTATTCCTATTTTGTTACACTTTTAATTATTATGGGAGACAGAGAGCGCATATTTTTTATTGAATGGTACTAATAAAGTTGACTTTAATTAACTATTAAAAATTACAACGAGATGAAATATAATAGAAAATTTTAACGAACAAAAATTGTCGCATTATTTCGACAAAAATAATTGATATACTTTTGCGAGTGCATGTTTTTTTGTAATAAAAAGAGCATGAATCATTTTTTAATAAACTAATTAAATTCAAATTTATTGTTTTAAATTTTCCTACATGTAGTTAGGGAAGTTTAACAATACCCACAACAATGCGACATGAAAATAAAAACCCAAACTTAACCATGAAATTAACCGTTTGTTAATTATCAAAACGGTGAGGTCAAATCTCAAGACAAAATTAATTAAACGCGATGCAAAAGCAGTTACCTAAGTTTGCGTGGTGCCACATCTACTTTGGCCAAGTCTAATAATAAGTTAACTCGAGCGTTAAGTGAGATTCAGTGGGACGAATTTACATTCAAACAAAAGCCAATATTGTGCATTTATTCTATTCCTAAAGAGAATCCTTATCGTACTTTCCAACACTCTTCACAAAAATTCATTATCTTTTTTAATGTCAATTTCTTGTAATTATAAAACAAAACGATAATTCAGATTTCTTTTGCAAAGAAAAAAAAATCATTTTATATATGAGAATTCTGAATCAGTTTTTTCTATTGTTAATTGTAAATGTACAAACTTAAAAGAGACATTAGGCATGAGATCGATTGTGCAACTCCCTTGTAGATGATTCACACATTTATACACAGAATATGCTTTTCGTCGTCTGCGCAAATGCAAAAAGTGTCACGACTCAATAATTTTGTCGACCGGCTCCCCAAATGTAAATGTGCCATTCTAGAAAACATTTAGGTTTTTTATATGTGTACCGCGTATAAATCTGGAAAAGTACCAATGTGCGAACACCTGGATTTTAAACGGTCGTTAGTGTCTCGCATAATGTCCTACTATGTAATAGCTAGAATCGTTATTCCGGATAATTAGTTTAAAATACATCCCCAATGCGTGTATTTTAAAAACCTCTACACGTTCTAAATTTTTTTCAACGTACCATTAAATTAATATTTTTTCTCACACTCTCCAGTTTTAAAAATATATATAATAACCAAATTAGTTCTATATAATTTTACTAATTACCGTTTTCCACTAATTGAATTGTAAATTATTTATATATTTTAATTTCAAAAATTTTATAAATGAAAATGTACCTTATAAAAAAATTGAGTCGTCAAATATTTAATTTTTCGGTAGCTATTTTTAAAAAATTATCGAATACGAAGCCTGTAATTATTGTACTAAATAAAGTTTGCACTTTTAACTTTAAAATTAACAAATCTCAACCTAAAATCTTTTTCGACGTCATGAATATAAAATATCCATTTTACGAAAATGTTTAGAACACATTAGCTCAGATTCTAAAAAAAACACCTTTTATTGTCTGTAAGGTTAAAAATCATTAATTAAAAAGAAAAACTCACCTCTTACGTCGAGGTTCATCTCCATAGCCACTGTATTCATGATTCTGAAATCAAAAAATTTGCCCAATTAGTATAAAAATAAAAGCAAAATTGAAAAAGAAAACTTCAATGGTGATATATTTCTTATCATTGCATCGTGTTGTATAATATTCCCTTAAAATTACAGAATTACCTATACAAATTGAAGTGGTTATCTTGATATTCAAATTAAGACTAATTTCGTCAATTTGCTAATCAATAACTTTAATCTATTGTCACGAGACCTTCCGCTCTTATATATGTATATGGAATAGGAAACATTAATCTCCCGAGGAAAACGTGACATTTTAAGACCTCCCTTCGTGCGTAATGCATGCCAGCCTTTAATTAAGTCCCCGAGGAGTATAACCGTTGATCTAATTATTCCGCACACATCCATAACCATCATCATCATCAATGATCCCTATACGGCCGATTCATTCTACAAACAATTCTATAAAATCAAAATTGTCCCCAAGAATTTTGGCATTTTCGAACGCCAAGTTCAAAAGCCAAAGTGGCTTCTTCTCTTTGGCCCTAAACGTCTTTAAAAGCAATAAACTTGTCATTCGCGTTCTCGTTAACTTGATCTATTATTCAACAAAAGCTATCCGACTTTAAAATTTCTACACTATTCGCAATCTAGAAAGAGATCTTATAATGTGGCCCTATTAATAGACACCCACTTGCTCTATATTGTTGTGTCATTATTGTAAGATATTTAGGCACGACAACGCAGAAATAGTGTTGCATTTCAAGAATTTAAGGTCATGTGAATTTAAAACAATTTAACGAAATAAAAATAAGTCATTTTTGAAACATTTGCGCATTTGTTGTTTTACATTTAGTGAAAGATAATTTAGTTGTTTTCTCCGAAAATTTGCAATTTTAATTATCCGAACTTTCGGTTATCCAAAACATGTCCTCTGCCCGAATTAGTTCGAATAATCCAAGTTCCACTGCAAATAGAAATAAAAACTAAAAATAACTAAAAATTGTTATATACATATTTCAGTAAAAGGAAAATGATAATGTTATTTTCAATAATAGAAAAATCGAACAGCTATCGGAATACCCCAAGCGAATGTACGTTTTTATTCAAATATGTGTATATTTATACGGATATTACACGTATTAACACTCACGTGATGGTTCAATCTACTAAAATATTTACGGCGACCGACATTGTGGAGCCAAATATCCATTTCGCGTTCTATATTCTGCGTATCGAGAATCTATACTAAAATTCCCAAGAGATTCTCAATGAAACTAATATTAACTTCAACACAATTTCCTCAGTTCAAGGTTAATCACACTAAAAATAATATATCATTTTACTAACACTATTTAAGAAATAATTAATTTCTTTTGTAATAAATAAAAATACCCTTGTTATAAATAAAAGTAGACTAATTACTTTCTTTTTCCTTCCCTTTTTTCGCTCTTCTTTTCAGAGTAAAAGAGAGAGAGAGAGAGACAGCGAGTTAATTCTCAAAGTATTTTAGACCCCCTAATGACGTGTCACGAACACCAGACATAATTGTTAGACTATAACCGGAAGAAGACTGACTTCACGGATGTTGCAGTTATGTAATTTTCAAAAGTGTGAAAGAAAAACACAAGAAGCCACTGACATCTTCCTTCAAAAATAAATTACGAAACTTGTCATTAACTCCGTTCTTTCTAGAAAACTTTTTCACACAGCAATTTTTTGAGAGGAAATATTAGATATTAAATAGAAATGTTAAAAAGAAAAACTAGATATTAAATAGAAATTGTTAAACGCTTCGATTTAGTCCAAAAAATCCAATAAGTTTGTAAAACAAAAATTAATTAAAAACGAAAAAAAAAATTCCCATTATCGACTCTAAAAAGAAAGTTCCCCAGAGATTAAAGATCACAAAGTGATGTTGATAAAACAAACAAACAAGTTTCTTCGAAACAAATTCTTTCCGCCCCGGTATAAAAAGAAAACAAAAACAAAACGATACCCTCGATTTTTTTCATAGAAAACCAAGAAGAAAACATCTTCATTGAAGATAAATCAAAAAAACCAAGTTTACGCATCTAATCCGTTGATTTTTGAAACGACCTCACATCGCATAGCCATTAACTTTCCAGACTCGTTTCTTGATAAACAAGCAAAAACTTTATTCCTGCCACCACCTCAAAGGCCAAATGCACTCAATATCAAGAGAGTTTTTCCCTTGGAAAGAGCAGTAAAATCTAAAAATAGAATATAAAGTTACGGACCAGTGACCCTGACTCTCAGTTCATTCATCAGTCTTTCATCCTCGAAAGCACAAGGAATGATTGAACTGCTACTCTTCTAATGTGATCCCTTACAGAAATCGTGGAAACGTAAATGGAAAATCTTTGAATTAAAACCATTTTCAAGAAAAGAAGATAAACACACACATTCAGAAATTTCTCTCTAATGGAGAAATTGAAAAGAACATCTCGTTTTCTTTCTTTTTTCTTCGTCTCATATTTGTTGCATATCGCAAATTGAACCCTTCACAAACTTTTTTTTTCTTCTTCTTTCAATTTCACTGAGTGAGAAAAAGAGAAAAATGAGAGAAGACACACGGTGTGCAAAAAAAACTCTTTCCCTCACTATATATATAAAAGAGAGGAAGAATTTGTGAATTCGCGTTCCAAAGATTTCCGTCTCGTAGACAAACACGTAAGGCTTCATCGGTATATAGCTGTTACGAAGCGTGGCAAATCCCTCGTGGAATACATATATACATATATATATATATATGCAGTTATAAACATAACTCGGCCACTTTTCCAGTTGGCTGTCCGCCAACCACGTGGCTTCACGCTCAATGGGTTTACACCCGCCTTGGATATAAAAAAAATATTATCGTCAAGTATTGCGTGCGACAAAACAGACAGGTTGAATTATACGCACTTCGCGGAAAAACAGTTTTCAATCTCTGCCGCCACAATAAAAAAAAAGAAAAGGAAATTACAATCATAAACTTCTATGAAACCAAAAGGAAATTAAATCGCTCGTATATAAAATACCATTTTTGTGAAATACAATATCGTGGATAAATAGATGTGTACATATTTACGATAACGAACGATATTAATTAATTAATAGTGAGACACCATATTTGCATGTATAATATATTATTAGTGTGCCATTTTCATAATGCTGTGTACTTTACTTTGATCCCCCCCCCCCCCTTTAATTAATTACAACTAAACCTTCAGTTTTTTTCCGATAAAGAAAATATCAAGTGCTTCTTTTAAGCTCTACGAGAAAATAAATTTCACAAAATATTAAATTTCCCTCAATTATCAAAGTCATGAGGGAAAATTACCCTTATTTCCCTGCTTAATGATTTTATTTTTATTTTCATCTTGATAGAATTTCCTTTATCAAATTCACAAAAGGGAGACTATAACATTTTTCCACGCTGAGGAAAATCATTTATTCAAATCCAATATATTTTCCTTGAATCAAACTTAGAATCTTTGCTATATAACAGTCAATTAACTATTTAGTTTAAACTATTTAATTTATATTCAAGACTTTTTCCCTGATCCTAAAAATTTTCACTCTAAAAATTTAGAGGTATTAAAAAGCATTTCAGTTAAAACACCAAAAAAAGATTTAAATAATCCATTTTCGGATTAATTTTTTCTGTGACAAAAAATTTGTCGCTCTAAATCAAACTCAAATCATTTATAGCTATTTTGAAAAAATAATCCTTTAATTGATTATTTTAATCCATTGACAAATTAAAGCATCGCAAGTTGTTTTAATCCATTTTTGTATTAAAATAATATCCTACAATTTTCTCTGCTAATAAAAAAGTTTAATTTACATTATTTTTCATTACACTTAGTAAATAAAACATCTTCGCTAATTAATAAATACTTGCGATAATTCTCCTTTCCGTAATCTTCAAATTTTGTACTTAATTATTCCGTAAGAAATAACAAAAATCCAAAATTATTCTACAAGTCCCCTCAACCTAAAGATCCTGAAATTCCGACCTAGGGAATTTTCGAGTAACTTGAAGTTTGTCACTTACTCAACTTGATACTAACCTAAACCGAATAGCAACAAAACTTGAAGAACAAAAAAGAAGAGTTTCTTCTCTGTTATCTTTTTACTCCATTTTTTTTTAATTAAAAGAAGTGAAAATTTTTTCCCTCACCCGAGTTTATATGGGATTTGTAGAAGGATTTCCTTGCGTGTAATATATTACATTTTACAACTATATCTATCCGATGGAATTAAATTTTAACAACGATATACTACTGGGGGATCGGGAAATTAAACTGTTTTTCTCAAAGGGAATGAAGCAAATCAGAAAACACGCTATGCTCGTGCAGAGATTTTATAGAAAGTCAGTTGGCATTCAGCCAACCATGTGCTGATAAAGAGATTAGGGATGAAAACAATGTTTACATTTTATTGCCTCTTTGGTAGGAGAGACTCTCAACTATTATAACATTACACACTATAACTGGCTTCCGACTCGACTTACTTTTACTTTTCTCTCAACGTATTTTCAATGCTCTCTCAGACACATATATGCTGATTATTAAACTGCTGTTGAAACTTAAAGGGAAAATGCTTTTCTACATCGTAATAAACCTATACCAGAAAATAGTCGACTAAGTTGAAAAAGTAATAACTGAATTTTTAAGGGTCGATATCAAATGTCAGCAGTGACTTTAAAATAAAAAGTGGATATTATTCTTATATCACCAAATTGAATTAGACGCTTAAAAAAATCTTTGAAAAAAGAACAAAAGTCTCTAAAAAAGTACATTTTTGTTTTACTATATAGCAATTTAATTACTATTTTCAATTTCACTGTAAATTTACTTTCTACCCGAAGTCTAATCCTAATTTTTATTCATAAACGAATTTTCCAAATATTTATTTGTCCTGAATAAGCAAATAACTTGAAGGTCAAGTGAAAATTAGGTCAAATAAAGATAAGGCCAAACAAAGTAAAACCGTAAAGTTTCAACCCCTTATAAGATTTCAAAA